CCCCAAAACCCCAAAACCCCAAAACCCCAAGAACAATAACAATAGTTGAAAAACATTAAAATATTATTTTTTGTACTTCAATTTTCTCAAATACTTCTTCTTAAACTTCTCAGGGATGCATTTCTTGATCTTTAAATCGTTATACTGAAGGTCCTTAATATAGTCCTTATTCCAGCCTTTGACTTTCTTTAAAAAGATATGGTCGTAACCAGTGATGAACTTCTGGTACATCACCTAAAGATCACAGTGCTTGCTTACCGAGTCATCAAGCTCACGGTTGAATTCAGAATCAGAGGTGAAAGAGTCATTCTCAAAACTCTCACTAGGATTAATGATCTGGATAGTTTTGAATGAAGAATCTTCAATGGCGGATCTCATCCGCTCTCGAAGAGCCTGAATGTTAAACATCTGGTCATCAATAATATCATTGATCTTGTTCTGAAGATTCAGACCCTCTTTATACTTCTCAAGATATTTATCGAAATTGAGATCCTTTAGTTCCTCAGCCCTCTTCTGAATCTTCCTGCTAAGTTTATCAAACTTCTTGAATCTCTTTGGAAGACTTTGCTGATTAGTCTTATTTATGGACGAGCTTTGAAGAGGGATTTGTCTCGATTTGGCTTGCCTGAGAGAACGGACATTGATCTAGATGGTAGGATAGTATCTTCGACTGGAAAATTGTAAATAAAAAGAAATTGATATAGATGAAGTACTATAGCGATATTATTTTTGTTATAATAATTTAATGATATTAAGAAGTGAAGAATTTATATTCTACAACTTTTCTGAATAAAAGTTGATCTATTGGATCCTTAATGACTTTCTGATATTTCAAAAATGTCAGAATACTATTTGGAGCAAGATAGTTATATTCTTTAGAACGATAATCATTATTAAAAGAACCCAAATTGCACAAGTCTAGTCTTCCTTGCACTAAAATCTTACGAAAGAGTTGTTCGAATTCAAATGATGGAAAGTATCTACAATTAATTTCAAACCTACCTTGTCTTTGTCCTTTTGAGCGAGAGTTTTTAGCAGGTAAGCCTTCTTTTCTCCCAGAGGAGTTTCTGGCATTGCCATATATCCCTCTGCTATATTTGGATCCTCCACCTATACCAATCAGATCTCAATATACTCGTCTTTAGAGCTGCGATACTTTTAGAATTCAATGTCCTCTTCTTCTGGCTTGTTGATCTATGACTTAAGCATACCTATTACAAGTCGTCATCAGATTTTGTTTCGATTTTGTTCAGCTTTATTAACGAATTCTCACATATCATCTTCTTCTTGGATTTCACCTAAACAGTCAGATTGAGAGTTACAGGGACTGAGGAGTTCTCATTTCGTCTTGCTTGCAAGGCTTTGGGGATCTTCAGAGATGAGCCTGAAAATAAGAAAGCGAAATACCAATCTTGATATTTTTATTCCTAGTGATTCTTGGTAATTTCTTGATCCCGATATTGTTCTTAATAATTTTCCGATTTTTAAGATTTTTCTTAGTTTTTGAGCCAGAGCGCTCTAACGAGCCATTGTCTAGAGTAATGAACAAGAAAGAGGTACCCTGTTCTTTCATATTTTCATTATTTTTCTGAATATCCTACAAAATTTACACAGAAATTACATCAGATTTTGCTATGTTTAGGATGCTAGAGATAAATCAGTCAAGCTTACTCTCCAAATAGTTCCTGGAATTTTTGAGATATTACAGTTTTGTCCAGTTTTTCGATCTCCAGGTCCTCTGCTGGTTCCAATTTTCCCTTTGAACTCTTCTTCCGGGGTTCTAGGATAGATGAAAATCGCAGATCTTACTCTGAATTTTTAAGAGATGCTCTTCTCTCATCTTTTGATGGAGTATCAGTGCAATCTTGTGAGAAAACTTATCAGCAAAGTTGGCTTCCTTCTGCTTCTAAACTTTAAATTCTAGATAAATACTGGTGAATCCTTCTGTTTCAGAATTCCTTCCAGGTCTGAGTTCTGAGAGATCTTCCCTGAGCCTGTATTTGTTAACGATCTGAATACTTCTAAAATTGCTCTTCACTGAGCTTCTACCTGTGCTTTTGAGTTTTATACTAGCACCTATAAATTACAGTGTAAGTAGGCATCAAACTAAATAACAGCATTTTAAGGTTGGAAAAATATTTCAAATCTTGAAATCCAAATATTTCGACTAATAGCATTTTAAATGTAGTTTTGATGTACATAGCCAAGATTTTGAAGTAGCTCCAAGACTTTCCTAATAAAAAGTGGTTAGTCTAGCTAACCTTGAAGCATATCGTCAATTTGTTAGATTCTGTTCTTACCTGGTCTGTGCACTTTGGGCAGCATCTTATAAACCTTAAATTTCATGATCGGCTTCTTGTTGATCTTGTTTATCTTATTGGTCTAGATTTATAACAATTAAATACCTCTAATATCTTGCTTTCTTCTGAACTACTCTGGCATAACCTCTTTGCATTCGAGAGAGCTCCTATAGAGATGTTGAAGCTATCATATAGAAACATTATAGCCGATAGGTTCATTAGTTACCTGGAGCTTCTTGTAAGTTATCCATCAGCTTCATCTTATAATTCTTAAACCCTATTTTTGAGCATTTTAGCAGTACCATTATCGTATAAATGATTGATCAAGTCCTCCTTTATCTCAGAATTTTGACTTATAGGCTTTGTATTTGACCTTATTGGGTAAGGTCTGACTTTCTTCAACGAATTTGCCTTTCTACGTTGATCTATTTCTCTATTCTTCCCAACTAATAGCGATATAAAACAGACTTACCTGGAAAATCAGATATGTATGGGTGAGAAGAAGATTCTTTAACATGAGAGACTGGAAGCCCCTCATCTTCTTCTACAAGCGTTCCCATCTGGCTCTTCCTAATATTTTTCTTATTTTGGCATAAGTGGGGATATTCCATTTGATATAAGGTTTATAAAAGAGCCAGACTTTTTGTCAGCTTGCTTGTTAGTTATCAACAATTCTGATTTACTCTTTGGTCGGATTTGGCTATAAAATAAATCATCGTCTTCTATCTTTTCTGTTGAATTTTTATCTCATTTTTGAAGGCTCAAGATGGACTCTAACATTGGTTACTATTTACAAATATACTTTCAGCAAAAGCAGATTCCTGAAGACTAGAATTCTGGTCCTCGTTGGAGGATAATTTCACTGTCATCCCATCTTTATCAACTTGACCCTTAAATTTTGGAATTTTTATTCCACCTAAATTCGTTCGTCGGTCACCTACTTATCTTCATTGGCATCTTCTTCAGGCTACTTCTTCAGGCTACTTCTTCTTGAGTAACCACAAATAGAGATATTATCTTCCTCTTCTATTTGTCTTAATAACCCGAGCTTACCTTCCATAATGGTCGACTGGGTGTCTAGAGGGAATAAGGTAGGAGAACATACCTTTACGTAACAGATGACTCTTATTCTTCGCTTGTTCTAAAGAAATAGCACCAGAAAGTACCAGCAAGCGTATCCTTTAGCTTATTTTATCATCGCTATCTCCTTAATTTCCTTCTGTTGGACTTTTCTCACCTTATTTCTGCATTTAAGTTCAAAATTTACCAATATCTCTTGAGTCTTTTTGAATTTCCTGGAATATGGTGATGACTTTAGGCTAAATAGTGGGATTCCTAAATATTAGGGGCTAAAGCAACCATTCATAGAAGAAGTTGATGGATCAGTTGGGTTATTTTAGCAATTCTATATTGTTAGAAAGACTCTTACCTTGCTCAGACAGCTGACCTATGCTGTACAGTTCCTTGTTGTTGAGATTGATTTCGTAATAACTCCTTTTCTTTCTGAAAATAAAGTAAAAAATTTGCACTGTTTTACTTACCTCTCTTCGTTGAGCTTTTCGACCTTATTTCAAATTCTCTACAGTGATGTTCTTAGCGATGCTTATAGCGTTTTCTCTATCTCCATCATGCACTGGATTTTTCATTCTGTGCAGCTTCAGGACTACATTTTCATTGATAATTTCTTACAGTCACTACTCTTCACTGAATGTTTTTGAACCCTTTTTTCTTCAGGAAGAAAATTAGCTTTATCAATTTTGTCATAGTAATTCAATTTTATTTTACTCCCACGGCTTTGAAATGACCTCCTCCTTGCATTATTATTTCTAATATCCTGAGCACCTGGGTGGGCTGACTTATTATTCCCAGAATAAACTTCACCTAAATTAATTTTGAGATTGTACATTTGAGCGTATTATGAAGAGTTCCACCCAAAAAATGACTTAAATTGAAGTCTTAATTTATGTCCTTAAAAATATTTTTTAAATGTTCAAAATGATCTTACAGTTATTATAATGACCCTTTTGACACTCATCTCACAACTGTCAGTACATAAACTCGCTTGAAACACCGGTATTTGAAAAAGAGACTGAGTCAGAGAGCTCTGAGTCATCGTCTGAATAATCGTCAAACGAGCTCCCTCTGTTAGACATGAGGATGGACATAATAGTCGACTTGCGACTATACTGTTTTCTCTCAGTCTCAATCATGATCTCTGCGATATCGTTGTCAGAGACAAAGCCTAATTCATCTTTCATTAGTAATTTATTATATCGAATTATATTCTACATCTTTTTAGAGATTTGGGGTTTTGGGGTTTTGGGGTTTTGGGG